CAGTGGCACAAAACGCGCACATAATTGCACAATAGTGCACTGATGCCCAAGTGCATGTCGGCATTGGTATCACGAGTAGCACACATTCGTATCACGCGTAACACGCGGTTTTCTCCTTATATGTACACGGCATGGAGGTCGCACAAGCATAGCCGGCGTATGGAGTCGTTGAGCAGCGTGGGCTCCGTGGCCGCAGCGCCACCTGCAGAGCGGCTGGCGGAGCGCCCGCACGTCGTACTTCTGGCTAGCCCCGGCGCCGGCCACCTCATCCCCCTGGCCGAGCTGGCGCGGCGGCTCGTCGAGCTCCATGGCTTCGCGGCCACGGTTGTCACGTTCACCAACTTCTCCGCCCCAGAACTACTTGCTTGCCTCCCCGCCTCCGTCGCCACCGCCGCGCTCCCCGCCGTTCAGATCGACGACCTCCCCGCCACCGCCCGCAACGGCGGCGTGCTCGTGGAGCTCAGCCGCCGCTCCCTCCCCAATATCCGCGCCCTCGTCCGCTCCATCAGCAACTCCAGTACAGCCCCGCTCGCCGCGCTGGTGCCGGACTTCTTCTGCTCCAGTGCGCTGCCCATCGCCGTCGAGCTCGGCGTCCCGGGATACCTCTTCGTCCCTAGCAGCCTGGCCTATGTCGCCTTCACACGCCACATCGTTGAGCTCAACCAAGGCGCCGCTCCCGGCGAATACCGCGATCTTGTGGTGCCTCTCGAGCTTCCCGGCGGCGTCTCGCTATGCGGCGCGGACCTCCCGGACCCGGAGCACCAGCTTTACCCGCAACTTGTCGAGTGGGGCCGGAGCTACTGCCTCGCCGATGGCGTGCTGGTGAACACGTTCTACGAGATGGAACCTGCTACCGTGGAAGCGTTCAAGCAGCTGGCGGTGCCGGAACAAGGTTCATGCGCGTTCTTCTTCCCGCCGGTGTTCCCCGTGGGGCCATTCGTCAGGCAGACAGACCGCCACGAACCCACCGCCGGTGCGTTGTCGCCGTGCTTGGAGTGGCTTGATCGTCAGCCGGCCGGTTCTGTGGTGTACGTCGCCTTCGGGAGCGGCGGAGCACTTTCTGTGGAGCAGACGGCCGAGCTCGCGGCTGGTCTCGAGGCGAGCGGCCAAAGGTTTCTTTGGGTCGTGCGGATGCCAAGCACCGACGTCGGCCGTTGCGGTGCCGGCGGCGACGATCCGTTGGCGTGGCTCCCCGAGGGCTTCTTGGCGAGGACAAGTGGGAGGGGCCTAGCCGTGGCGGCGTGGGCGCCTCAGGTGCGCGTGCTGGTTCACCCTGCGACGGCCGCCTTCGTGTCGCACTGCGGGTGGAACTCGACGCTGGAGAGCGTGGGCTGCGGCGTGCCCATGCTCGCGTGGCCGCTGTACGCGGAGCAGAGGATGAACGCCGTTCTCCTGGAAGAGAAGCTCGGGATGGCGCTGCGGGTGCCGCCAGCACGAGAGGACGGCCGATGCTTGGTGACGCGCCACGAGATCGCCAAAGCTGTGAAGGAGCTCGTGGAGGGCGGTCAGAAGGTGCGCCGCCGGGTCGAGGACCTGCAGAAAGCGGCAGCACGTGCGTGGTTGCCGGAGGGGACGTCGCGCCGGGCGCTCGAGCAGGTCGCCGTAAAGTGGAAGGCGGCGCTCGGCACCGCGAAGTAAAACACATGCAGGAATGGGCGTGCGCATGCATGTACTGCATGGTCTCCATGGCGCTCATCGTATTTATTTGCAGTGTCGTGCATGAAGTACTTTATTATTTTGTTGTCGTCTTGTGGTCATTTCGTCTGAAGTGATATAACGCGCGCTACATCTATGAATACGTGGCATATGGATCTGGTTTTTATTTTAAAAAACCGACTCTAAGTCCTAACACACCCATTAGGTGTTACGTGTGGTAAGCAATCCAAATTATTTTAAAAATAAAAGAGTTTGTTTAGGTCTCAGTCGACTGAGACTTGACGAAGTCACAGTCCACTGACGTGGCATGCATGTGGCCCTGACGAGCTGACCATGTTGTTGAAACGTGCCCACGTCCCGCACGTCAGGTGGCTAGCCATGCAGCCCGAAAGTCATGCGCGTCTCTAATAGCCCACGTACATCGTACTTATCTTCTCCTGCATGCTAGCGATAGCCGGCTCATGCCGTTGTACTCTCCCACGTTCTCTGCTTCTCTCTCCTGTAATATGTATATATGTACTCTAATGGATGAATAGAAGCAAGTGTGTGAGTGTGACATATCTCAACTTGGTATCAGATATCAGCATCCCGATCCCTCTTTCTCTCAACGCTTCCGCCATGCATCGTTTTCTCCGCCGCACCCGCTCGGCCGACTTCGACGCGCCGGCGTCCGCTCCGTTCGCCGCCGTTCCCGTCGCCGCGGCCGTTCCCGCTGCGGCTGCACCTTCTCAGGCAGCTCCCTCTGCCGCGGTCACCACCACCCCGGCTGCACCCGCGCCCCGCCGTGCGCACCTCGGCGACTTGGGCAAGACGCCAGTCCCTGAAGGCGTCGCGGCTCCTTCCTCGTCCACCTCGGCGCCCCGTGCGGCGCCCTCTGCCCAGCCAGCCACCGGCGTCCTGCGCACCGCCGGCAGCACCCCCGTCCCGCGCCTCACGCTGGGCGGCCCCGGCAGCGCTGTCGTCACCCACCTCGGCCCGGGGCGCTCCGACGCCGGTCCTTCCTCCACTGCCGGCCTCCCGCCCTCCATCGCGCACTACTTCACCAGCAAGCTTCATCTCGAGTCCGGTAACTACTCGCGCTGGCGTCAACTATTTTACATCATCGCTTGCAAACATGAGGTTCAGCATCACCTCGACGCCGCCACCGACCCGCTCGGCCAGAGCGTCGTGTGGTGAAATGACGACTTGTCCATGGTGTTGTGGATGCACGGCGTCGTCACCGAGGAGCTCCTGGACGTCGTGGCATCCCCGGACAGCACCGCCTACGACATCTGGACCCAGCTCCACGTCCTCTTCATGGACAACCAGCCGGGCCGCGCCGTCATCCTCGGCGCCGAGTTCCGGAACCTCGTCCAGGGCGACCTTTCCGTCGCCGAATACAGCAGGAGGCTCAAGTCCCTGGCCGACGCTCTCGAGGACGTCGGCGAGCACATCTCCGATCAGGCTCTCACGCTCCAGCTCATCTGCGGCCTCAACCGCAAGTTCCAGATCATGGCGACGCTCCTCCCGATGCAGTCGCCATTCCCCTCCTTCGTGCAGGCCTCTCTCGCCTCCTCATGGAGGAGATCTCCGCCAACGAGCGGGCTCGGCTGGACGGCCGTCCGGAACTCCCCGCCGCTGCTCTCACCATCGGGCACGCCCCGAGTGGTGGCCCCTCTCCCTCCCCTGGTCGCGGATCAGGCAGCGACTCCGCCAACAAGGGCAAGGGCCCGCTGCATCTCCCCCGGGCGACAGGGGCAGTGGCTCGCGCGGGCGTGGGCGTGGTCGTGGCCGCGGCCGCGGCGGCCAGTCATCTGGTGGCGCTCCCGCTGGACGCAGCGCCGCTCCAGCCGGGCCGCAGCCCCCGACTGGCTTCTTCGCTCCATACGGCGCCCTCCTCCCCGGCCTGCCTGCACCACGGGCCCCTTGGGCTGCGCCGAACGCCGCCGGCGTCCTAGGCCCACGTCCTCCTGCACCACATCAGGCCTACCCCATGCACTCGTCGTCTTCGAGCGGGCCTACCTGGGAGCAGTACAATCAGCTGTACGCTGCTCTCCAGGGCCTCTCCATGCAGCAGCAGCACGCCGGCGGCACGCCGGACTGGTTCCTCGACACGGGCGCTACGTCGCACGTCGCTGGTAAGACGGACCTCCTCACCTTGTATGGCTCTCCCTCATTGCGTCATTCCTCTGGCATCCTAGTAGGCAACGGTTCTCGTCTCCCCATTACAGCCGTAGGTTCTGCCTCTCTTTCAAACTTTGCACTGAATGATGTACTTATATCTCCTACTATCATCAAGAACTTGATTTCTGTACGTCGTTTCACTCAAGATAATTTTTGCTCCATCACGTTTGACCCTTTCGGTTTTTCCGTGAAGGACCTAGCCACGGGGAAGCTAATCATGAGGTCCAATAGCCATGGGGACCTCTATCCTTTCTTCAACAACTCCGGCGTCCAAGCAGTGCTCTCCGTCGCCACCGATGACATATGGCATCTTCGCTTAGGGCATGCTAGCAATAAATCAGTTTCTATTCTTGCACGTGATTTTCTTCCAACTTGTAATAAACATATGCCTAGCACTTCCGTTTGCTCATCATGTCAACTTGGCAAGCAGCCTCGACTGCCTTTTTTCCACTCCATTACTAAAACAAGTGCGCCCTTCCAGTTAATACATTGTGACTTGTGGACCTCGCCGGTGCATAGCTTCTCTGGGTTTCAATATTACCTCGTGCTTCTTGATGACTACTCCCACTACTCCTGGACGTTTCCCTTGCGTAACAAATCCGACACCGCCGACACCATCACTCGCTTCTTTGCGTATGTTCATACACAATTTCATGTCACGATTCAATGTATGCAATGCGACAACGGTGGCGAGTTCCTCACCACTTCCTTACGCGAGCTCTTCTCCAAAAACGGTGTCTCCTTCCGTTTATCTTGCCCGCACACCTCACCACAAAACGGGAAAGCTGAGCGCCTCATACGCACCACCAACGACGTACTCCGTGTGCTCCTCATCCACGCACACCTCCCACCCCCTTTTTGGGTCGAAGCACTCCATACCACCACCTACATTCTCAACCGTCGTCCCTCCTCAGTCATCAACTTCGTGACGCCTCACTTCGCTCTTCTTGGCCAGCATCCCACATATGACCACATGCGTGCCTTTGGGTGTTTGTGTTTTCCCAACACCATCGCTACTAGTACGCATAAACTCGCTCCCCGCTCATCTCGTTGTGTTTTCCTCGGGTACCCCCTAGAGCACAAGGGCCATAGATGCCTAGATTTATCCACTCGCAAGGTGATTATTTATCGGCACGTCACGTTCGACGAGAGTGGTTTTCCCTACTTCTCTGCCGATCACCGCGCTCCTCCGCAACTCCCCTGGCCACAGAAAATCCCGACCCAATCCACCCCGTATCCTACGCACCTACCTCGTACCCGCCCTCGGGATCCCCGCGCGCCCTCGAGCCAATCCGGTCTCCCCGCCCCGATCCACTCGGCTCGCGGGACCCGCCTCCCCTGCATGCATCGCCTGCGCAATCCCCTCGCCCGCCAACCCCCGCGCGCCACTCCCCTGCCAGCCCGCGGGACCCGCCACC